GATAGTGAAACGGATTGGGATGGCAGTGATTTCAAAAGGGGTGAGGAAGGGGGAGTCCTGCCCTGGTGGCACTATTTTCCTTTGAGGCGTGTTATTTTCGGCCAACTGCAGAGATATAATTTTTTTTCGGGGAAGGGTGGCGGCAAAAAAAAAAAAAAAAGCTTGACCAGCTCCGTATGGCTCCAACTCCAGCTGCGCCACTGTGAGTGGGCGTCCAAGTGGAGCAATGTGGAGGAGAGAAAATGTAGATCGAGGAAGCTTGGCCAAGACTGGCCATAAACAATCTACATGCTTCTATCAAATAACGATCCATTTCTTTTTAATCTGTGGATTTTACCATGCCCATGAGAGCCAAGAGTTGCCATAGACAAGCTACATTTTAACATGCCCCTGAGAGCCAAGAGTTGCCATAGACAAGCTACATTTTAACATGCCCCTGAGAGCCAAGAGTTGCCATAGACATGCTTCATTTACCATGCCCATGAAAGCCATGAATTGCCATAGACAGGTCACATTTTACCATGCCCATGAGAGCCAAGAGTTGCCATAGACAGGCTCCATTTGACCATGCCCATGAGAGCCAAGAGTTGCCATAGACAGGCTACATTTGACCATGCCCATGAGAGCCATTAGTTGCCATAGACAGGCCACATTTTACCATGCCCATGAGAGCCAAGAGTTGCCATAGACAGGCTACATTTGACCATGCCCATGAGAGCCAAGAGTTGCCATAGACAGGCCACATTTTACCATGCCCATGAGAGCCAAGAGTTGCCATAGACAGGCTACATTTGACCATGCCCATGAGAGCCAAGAGTTGCCATAGACAGGCTACATTTGACCATGCCCATGAGAGCCAAGAGTTGCCATAGACAGGCTACATTTTACCATGCCCACGAAAGCCATTAGTTGCCAAAGACAGGCTACTTTTTACTATGCCCATGAGAACCAAGAGTTGCCATAGACAAGCTTCATTTTACCATGGCCACGAGAGCCAAGAGTTGCCATAGACAGGCTACATTTTACCATGCCCACGAAATGCCATGAGTAGCCATAGACAAGTTACATTTTACCATGCCCACGAGAGACAAGAGTTGCCACAGACAGGCTACATTTTACCATTCATGCCCGCGAGAATTTCTTCAATGAACTTGCCAATCAGTCTGTTATTATTATTGCAGTATTGATTGCTCCAGCCGTATCAGCACCGTGACAGGTAATTATGTCAACGTCGTCAATGGGGGCTGCTCACCATCGTATCTGATCATTGGAGATTGGTTCGGCACTGGAGTAAAATACGTGCATGGGGCCGACCAGGTCGTGTTTGAGTTGTTTACCTGTAATGAGACAGGGATGGGAGTTCGATTGCGAGAATGGATTCATTCTAACTGGGTGTGGGCCCCTGGTCGGGGTCAGGGCGGTGGGGGACGGTCAGCCGATCGAGTGGTCCACCGTTTATTTTTTTGTTGTTGTTGTAAAGTTGAACCAGGACGATGAAAGAACTTCAGTGCAAACTTTTGTCGTTAAATAATGTCATTGCCCTCATTTGGTTCATCGTTTCATCACAGATAAATAAATATCCGTGGATCCACCTATGAAATCGGGTCACATTTTTACAGAAATAAATCCATGAGAAGTTCGCGCACTGCTGCCGCCACTTTTTGGCGCTAATTGGGGTCCGTTACTTGAACGTATGTTTTATAAAGTAACTTTAGGAGATGGACTTTCGCGTATGCCGCCGCCAGTGTTTTGCGGGTTATTACTATTTCTATTATAAAATGCAGGAAATGTTATCCTCCCTTTGAGATCTGAAAAAATAGACGACTCCAAGTGGTAGGGACAAAAAAAACGAGTGGTTAAAAAATCACGATTAACTTCAAAGAATCTGACTTGTTTACAAGGTTTAATTATTAATTGTAATCAATGGCAGCCATATTTAGTAGTTCAAGAAAAGGTTTCAGACGAACAATGTCTTGTTTTAGTCAATGGAGTGGTTTAAAAGATTTTTTTTTTTTGAATTACTTTTTAAATTTTCCCTTGGCAATGGTGGTTATTGGTGAAATCCTACTTAAACAAAAACCGATGAATGTATTAATTTATAGAGTCACATGCCGCCATTAAGTCTTCCAGTCCAAAATAAAAGACTGACCCCCCCCCACAAAAAAAAGACTGACCCCCCCCACCCCCCCCCCCCCGCGTGAAATACCGAGACCGAAATACTGATCCCACCACCCCTAACTTATGGCGCTCACCGAAAGACTGAACCCAAAAACTCAACTTACGACCCTGACTGAAAGTCTGACCCCCATATCTAACTTACGACCATGATTGAAAGACCTATCTTGCGACCGGGAATGAGTGACAGTCTGGACCCCAACCCCTTGTAAAATATCCTGACAGCCCAAACGCTCTGCGCAGATTATGTTCCAATCTTTTTTAAAGGCTTTCTTTTGCTTGCATTTTCATCTTATATGAAAGCTGTAGGATTTTGGGATTTATAAGAAAATAATCTTTAAAAATTAATACAAACAAGACATATTTCAGTTTCGTCTACATTCAATTCAAATCCTTTGGCCACATAGAGTGCTCATCTACACTTGTGCACAGTCTTTCTTTGGCCACATGGAGTCCTCATCTACACTTGTGCACAGTCTCTCTTTGGCCACATATAGTGCTCATCTACACTTGTGCACAGTCTCTCTTTGGCCACATATAGTGCTCATCTACACTTGTGCACAGTCTTTCTTTGGCCACATATAGTGCTCATCTACACTTGTGCACAGTCTCTCTTTGGCCACATATAGTGCTCATCTACACTTGTGCACAGTCTGTCTTTGGCCACATATAGTGCTCATCTAAACATTATTTTTTTGATAGAAAGCGCCTCCTTTAAAACTTTTTTAAAATAATATTTTTAAATTAAAATCTGTACTTCCGCAAATAAGGTGTGAACAAACCATATTCTGATTTGAAATACATATTTATGTATTTTATAATTAATTAATTTTTTTATCGTTTTGGGGTCAAATAAAAGAAGAAAAAATCTTCACATTCTTTGTAACACTGAGCGATTAGTAATACTCAGGTACAACTTGAAGGGCGCTTCATTCGATGTAATAATGGGGTAAAACTTGAAGGGCGCTTCATTCGATGCACGTTTTCATCAGTCTTTTCGATCAGGTAATACTTCCATTCGCAACCTACACCTTGGTTGTCTACAGTAACGCCGCCGTGCATGGCTGGTGTCACCTAGTGTGGTGAACTCATTGTGACTCCCTCTTTCAGAATTCCCCATGGTACTCCTCTGAGTTTGCCTGCTATGAAAAAAATAAAAGGGGGGGGGGGGGCGGACGTCCTGCTCTAGTAGCAACCTGATCTAGTGGAACATTGTTCTAACACATGATCTGGCGGCACGCTGATCTAATGCTACCTGCTCTGGCGACAAGCTGATCTAATGATGCATGTTCTGGCGACAAGCTGATCTGATGCTGCAAGCTGATCTGATGCCGCATGCTCACAAGCTGATCTGCTGCTACTTGCTCTGGTTGCAAATTGATCTGATGCTACATGCTCTGGCGGCAAGCTGATGTGAAGCTGCCTGCTCCGGTATTTTAAAGAGTTTCAGTTTTGAAAACGACCCAAGTTAACTGTGACAGTGTGAGGGTGTCCCCCTCCCCCCCCCGGTGTGTTCCACACCCCACACCCGCCCCCCCCCCCCCCCCCCGTGGAAGCGGCCTGGTCCGGTATTTTAAAGAGTTTCAGTTTTGAAAACGCCCCAAGTTAACTGTGACAGTGTGAGGGTGTCCCCCCCCTCCCCCCGGTGTGTTCCACACCCCACACCAGCCCCCCCCCCCCAGCCCAGTGACACAACTGGATGCTTAAAACAATGGTGAAGTCAGTCTTGCTACAGCTTTATTAAAAAATTAAACAATTCTAGACTTGTAGACATTTTTTTCACAGCTAATTATACAATTACCGTTCACTGAGCAGGTATCGATCAACGATCCTCTTTGCTTTCTTATTATTGCAGTATCGATTTTATGTCACGTAGCAATATGAAGACGGGTAATTAGTCCACAGGAAATGCGATTCCCTACCATTGTATCGGGGTTAATTGAAATGTGTGTTGTGTGATCCTTGATCCAAATAGTTTTACGGGACCAGGTAGTGTTAGGATCAGTGCTGGTCAAAATAGTGTTGGGATCAGTGCTGGTCAAGGTAGTGTTGGGATCAGTGCTGGTCAAGGTAGTGTTGGGATCAGTGCTGGTCAAGGTAGTGTTGGGATCAGTGCTGGTCAAGGTAGTGTTGGGATCAGTGCTGGTCAAGGTAGTATTGGGATCAGTGCTGGTCAAGGTAGTGTTGGGATCAGTGCTGGTCAAGGTAGTGTTGGGATCAGTGCTGGTCAAGGTAGTGTTGGGATCAGTGCACTGCTGTTGATCCTCATTTTGGGAGATGCGAAAACTGAGACAAGCTGGCGTGGATTCATTTAAGCCAGTGTTTGTGACCTGCTGCACATGAGCCGCTTATGGCTGTTTGGAGGAATTGATGCAAAAGCTTTCTTTTTTTTTTTTATTTCTTAAACTCATCTCTACTGACATGTGGCTCCCAATATTTTTTTAGAAGATGTAAACTCCATAGAATTTAGTAACATTGGCTCCCAATATCTTTTTAGCAGATGTAAAATTCATAGAATTTATCAACATTATCAACACTGAGTTAAGCTGAACAGAAATTACTCATTATTGTATTGTGTGTGTGTGTGATGGAGGGCGGGAGGGAGGTTCCAAATCACACATCCTGCTGCGTTGAGAAACTGGCAAGATATTAATACTATTATAATACAAGGGAAGCAACTCAAATCGAAAGGGCAGCAACTCAAAAATAAGGGAACAAAATATGCTCTCTTCAGAGACTTTATGTGGATAAAATTCGTAAAAGAGAAGAGTTTTGAAATGCAATATGTTTATTTGAGCTTGTGAGTTGTGTTGTTGTGTTTGTGTACAGCAATTACATTCTTATATTCCTACAGCTAACAGTGATCCATTATTTTATGGACTGCCGGCTTGACACTGGCATTCTATGGCCGAGATGTACTGTGGAGAATTAAACATGCTGTCAGAAATGAGGATATTAGCATTACATGAATAGTCTTACAATCATAAGTATTTTATATTCAATCCAATTACAAACATGTATTTATTAGCTAGAAGCAGCATTAGTTTTATGGAAGAAAATAACTATTTAAAAATAAATGATGCAATATTTATTCGCTTATGTTTACTCTAAATTTTGATCGAAATGCTGTCTTCTAAAGCAATTAAAATAATAAATTAGAAAAGAGTTCAAATGTTATGGAACACAAACTTAAAAACTATTTAACCAGTATGCTTGACAAAAGAAAGGAGAAGGCAGTCTTAGGTAGACCCCAACCAATGCCAATGGATTCAATTCAAAGCATTGCTTTACTCCATGTTATAGTTATGGATGGTAGGCCTATTCATTCCAGTCCCACCCATATCTTCCAAGTGTGAGTTAAGTCTCTGAAAATTAGACTCAGAAGGTCCCATTATAGTGAAGTCTCCTTTATAAAATTTTAAATTTCCTCAGCTAACCTAACTCTTGGAATGCACTTGGACAGAGATGGGAAATGATTGAACTACTTACAACATGTTTGATCTGGCTGATGGGCTGCTTGGTGCTGAGACTGTAGCACTGGACATCCACCTGGATCTGCTCGAACTTAGTGGCCTTGCAACATGTGCCGGCCTCCCCCTCGCAGAGCAGGTCCCCGCAGGACCCGATGGTCACGGGCTCACCCACACAGTGCTCACCATCTTTCTCGATGTCATACTTAACAGCGACTTGAACAGGCCCGGCTTCCTCACAGTAGCGCCGCAGAGCAGAGCCTGCCAAAATTGGGATGTGAATTGAATGCCAGTGACAGCCAATCAAGGCATAGTCGTATAAAATCTCATCACATCTTCAAGTGCATGAGTCAATCATGAATGAACAAATCCAGACTTAAAAAGTACATTGCATATTAAAAGATTTATTTAAAGTCGATTTTTTTTATTTCTCAGTGGTGCCAATGGCTTTGAGAAATGCGAGAGTAAATCTAGAATGCTCAGTGTTTTAATTTGAAGTGGCCTAAACATATTTCAATGAGTTATGACAACGAATTTTTTTAAAAACTCACTTTGATGTTATAGTTTCCAGTAAATACTATACAAATCAATATACAGGCTTGTTTTCACTTAGTAATATTATGAATTAATTTATACAACCAACAAAATCTGACACTTAAATTGTTTAATTAAAGTAATGTTAGCTTACCATCTTCGGGGTCACAGCTGCCTGAGTAGAGTTTATGTGGCACTTTGGAAGCCTGGCAGGCAGAAATGTTTAGTTCACATTCACTCTTGAATTCCTTGGCAGCACCTGCTCCTAGAGAGCCACACACTGGGTCAACCTCGTTACATAAACTCTGTTCAGGGCAGAGTCCCTCTGGGGCGCCTGTGAAACACACAAACATTATAAGGTAGAAATTAAAATGTGCAAGCAGGTAAATTGTTGTTTATCTTATCTGAACTCACCATGGAATTGTGGTTTACCTTATCTGAACTCACCATGGAATTTTTTTTTATCTTATCTGAACGCATCATGGAATTGTTGTTGATCAATTGTCAAGGTAACTATGAAATTTTAAAGGGAGGCATTGCTTTGTCTCATTATTCTTCTTCTCAGTGCATATAAATTGGAATTTATTAACACCTTTGGGAGGCGCAAAATTCTTGACCCATCCCAGGTGGCGTTAACCCTGGTTAAGTCACTTGACCAAAAAGAAATTAATCTCTTTATGTTCATTGATTTTAAGAAAGACAGATTAAGCTTGTCCTTGATACTCCAAAAAATGTTCAGACAAATTTAAATGTAATGAAATCTATCAAAGGGGATCAATCATTGTTGAAATACCAGCTTAGCACTACATGAATCATAACAAAATAGGGATTAACCAGGTGCAATTTTTTTATACCAGGTCCAGGTATTTTGAGAAAATACCTAGTAGGTCCAAGTATTGCAAAAAAAAAAAAACAAAGGGGAACAAAAAAAAAAAAAAAAAAAAAAAAAAAAAAAAAAAAAAAAAAAAAAAAAAAACTTCTCATTTTCTATAATATGCAATGAAATCCACTGTCTTATGTCATAGTGAGAATGCATTGCCTTTCAAACTATTTACCTCAGTTCAGATGTCACACATGAAGCTCCCTGTGTGACAGACTTTTTTTTCACTCAGTACTATTAATATACAACTTGTTAAGTAGTGGGAGGGTGCTGGTTTTGAAGCGGAAGCAGGACGAACCACAAGCAAAATATATATAAGAGATAGAGTTAACTTTTCAGGTGAAGACTTACCAGTCAAAATATTAACACAAGCTACAAAACAAGGCCGGCTTGCACCGGTCTCGTAGGGCTCTACTTGACGCACAGGCCTGAAGTCATCGTATGGAGCCACTTGTCTGTTTTTAACTTGGGTGCCCTCACCACAATTTCTGAGCTTGTCCGTAAACAAGCATTGGCTGTATGGGCTCCATGGAGTGAAGATTGGCTCTGAAGCTGAGGATAAATTTATAATGTAAGACTATTACCCAGCAAAAATGAGTAAATTTGGGTGCATATATCGATATCTCTTCTCAAATGATAAAAACTAGAATTATAAGCCAAGCTCGTTTTTTTAACTTGGAGGTGAAAGATAAAGCATAATAAGTTGTTAGCTTACGTGGCAGCTGAGGCTTCGGTGGACCATTTCCTTTGCCACATTCCCCTGGGGAAGCTTTTATAGCAGAGTCCCTTGGCAAACTAGTTGGTCCCCCAGAAGACTTGCAAACGGCTTTTACCATGTCACAGTAGGTTGGGTAGCTCTTTGGTGATTCCGCATTGCTTGGTCCACACACTGGGCCTGGTTAAATACATATAAACTAATGAACATGGATTAATCCGCATCATCTCACACCCAAAGTCTTCTGCACTAAACAATCATATTAGGTTTCATTTAAAAATAAATTTAAATAAAACAATTAGGCCCTACACATTTTAAAATTTGTTCAATGAGAATTAATATGAATAAATGTACATATAATGTTTTATTAAGATGTACATTTTAAACCAAAGGTGGTAAATAAAGATCTTACCTTCTGCTATACCTGGGGGTGGTGGAGCAAGAGCACTGCAAATTGTAGGGTCATCACAAGAAGTAGGTAAAGGTGGCAGACCTTAGAAGGAAACATAAAAAAATTGTATTTTCTTATTTAATATTTGAGTTTAAAAATCAAGGTGGACTACTCTCTAGATTTTTGCCTCAGCAACACAACACCGGATAAAACAAATAAAATTGGTATTTCATGATTACACTTGGGAGACCACAGTTTTTCTCTGAACCTTGGCCACAGAGAGAAAAGAAATTAAATAATAATTAGGTTATTTATGTAAAAATATTTTGGGTAAGTGTTTGAGAAATTAAACTACTATTTCGCATACTCCTTTCAATCATTTTATGTGTAAAGTTAAAAATTGTTTTTAGACCTACATTTTATAAAGGGAAATAATTATGAAAAAAAACCTCCAAAAAAACCTTTCAAAAACTTAATTTCAAAAGCTCTATAAAGAATGAACATTCCTATAAGCTTATTATGAGCTTAGCATCAACAATATTTGAAGCTCCACATGTCAGTACCAATTAATCATTGCTTAATTTTTTTTATTCAATATTTTTTGTTCTCTTCAATGATTCAAAAAAATTTGGAAAAACAGAAAAATAGTATCCAACATTTATGATCAAAGATAATTTAAAATGTATCTTCAGAACATTTTTTAGTTTGTTGCAAGGTATTAGACAGTGGTGTAAATAAGGGGCATCTAAATTAAAGTGTTTGGGGAAAAAAACAATTATCAGTAAAGAAACAGAATTTCTTTTCTTTCTTTCTTTTGAAATGGGAATTCGGGTCTTTACGATTATAGAACCGTAAAAAAAAACTAAGTGTGAAATGTTGTTTCCTTTCATATAAATCCAGCTGATATAGAGCAATAGTCTACCATATTTATTACCTGATCCATTTGAAGGTACAGGGTTATCTCGTGGGCACTTTCCTTTTATGATATTCTCATTATTCAATGGGAGATTGCTAATGCAGCGCTCCTGGTACATTCGCTTGTATGTCGGGAACTGGGTACGTTGACCGTCCTCTGTGTAACAGATTGGGCTTGGAAGACTTTCAGATTCCTCACAAACAGTATCGGTGCATAGTGCACAGCAGGTGGAGTTATCCGGGAGTGTTGGGAAACCTGAGCAGGGAACAAAGACAAACAAACAATGAAATTTTGTGTCGTCCATTTTTAATTAAGGCTTATGGTGTTGTTGAGAAGATCAAAACATCAGAACTTATCAACTGTCAGGGGAATGTTGTACAAGAAAGAACTGTAGTCTAAATGTAAACGTGTCATTTAAAATAGAAAACACAAATCAAAATCAAAATTTTAAATTTAAAAAAGTTATTAAAATATGAAATATTTCTCTTATTTATATCTATAGAAAAAAATTTAAGAGCAAAAATACATCTTTTGCATTGATTTAGCTTGAAGCAATGAGGTCTGATTGTTTTACAATAATTTATTGACATAAAGTATTTTTTTTTTGTAAAGGAAAAAATCATATTTGCAATAATTATTAATGGATGCAAACTCATAATTTCTGTAATATTTCAAGTTGTATCTGTGTTGCAATTGGTGTGTCATTTAACTAATTCTAAACATTAAAGTTTGCTGACGTCATCAATGCACCAAGATAAGGAACGGTTAAAAAATGAGGTCTGTGTGTTAACTATTCTTATCCAAACTCACTTATAAACTCTCTCTCACAGCTCAGCGTTTCAGGATTCCACAAAAAGCCAGCACAGCAGATGCATTCATAGGAGCCCTCTGTGTTTCTGCATTGTGAATTCTCCACACAAACTTTGCTGTCATTGTGGCACTCATTGAGATCTGTTGAGCATTTTTGTTCAATGAGTTCAATCCATAAGAACCAAGAAAAGCCTTCCATTAAAATAGGTTCAGTTACATACAAATACAGGAATTGGTTTAATGTGACATCAAGAAAATAAACTTACTTTTCGACTCTCCTGCCTCCTAAACAATTGTAGAAGAACTGAATTTGAGATTCAAAGTCAGCTCGCATTTTTGTAAAGATATGAATAAACTTACCAACACATTCACCATTTTTGTCTGCATATCCATCTCCACATCCACACTGGTATCCACCAGGAACATTGATGCATTTTTGCAAGGACAAGTCACACTCATGGAGACCCTCCTTACACTCATCAATATCTAAAAGTGTTAAAAAATGACTTTTTGATTTGATAAAAATTGTGTTGTTTTTTTTAATTTATTCATTCACTAGCCTAATAATTATTAGACATTTATTGTTCAGAATTTTGAAATCGCTCAGTGACTTTCCTCAATATCACAAATTATCAAGTGCTAGATTTTAAATATTCTTTTATTCCTCATATCTTTTAAGAATTTTTTTTAAAAAATAATTTAATCTCGCGCGCAATTTTTTGTTAAAAAAAAGTACTGCCACAACTATCATAGAAATATTACAGGATAGTGCTATGTAGACGACATGTTTTCATCACCTTTCCCCGTGCCGTGAACTCTGTATGACCCAATCTAGCAGATGCTGCGTTCATATTAGGCGTGGCTTATTTCTTTTCATCTTGGAATGTTTGCTACCGCTACCAATCATACATAATTAATCTGTTCTCATAGTATTTTGTGGAAAGTTTGGGAGTGGACTAGAAAGGTAAACAATGTGTAAGGCGTTTCTGGAATGCGTCTAACTCTGCATATATAAGGGGTTCAGAGAACATTAAGGAACGGAGATTGAGAGATAAATTTTTCACTTCACTAGACAAGTGTATTATTCTGTGTGTACTCATATCTGTTTATTTGCATTGCATTAATCATTGTACCTTATTTTTGTGGCAAATTGTACTAACTGTGTACTGGTACAAGACATCCCATACTATGTAAGTTAATGATTGTAATTATATTTCTTTTGTTTTGTAATTACATTAATATTTAAATAAATCTTAATTATTGTTTATTTAACTGCTTTGAGTGTCGTATTTTCGCTATTGTATTTCTCATATGGTATCGTCCTTTGTTATGCACTGTTTAGTACGAGCTATAAATTTAAAATAGGAGATTAATTTCTCCCTATAGAAGGCAGTGTGTAACAATAGGTAATTCACTACCTAACAAAATTACCTTCACAATCATCGCAGTTGGAAACAAACCCTAAATTACAGTCACATCTTGTCTCATTCTGTCCATCAGATGTGACAAATATGTAGCAAGTCTTGCTGCCATCTGGGGACACTTCACCTAAAATGTACTCATAAGTTATTGATGGAAATATAGAAGCCTACCGGCACACTTAGTTTTTTTTTATTTGATGGAAATGACAAAAGTTAGTGCATAAATAATCTTTAAATAAATATGTTTCTAAATTTAAACACTAAATAATATTAGGACCAAATAAAAATTTAAGAAAATACATAAGTATCATTTATTCCTTACAAAAATGTTTAAAAAAATTATTGTCTTTTTGTACACTTCACCTCTACCCCTCATCTTCCACTGCTGGGAAGTGATCAATGCATAGGTCACCCATTCCTCAGTACACATTTAAAAACATGGATTATCATATCACAAATTGCACTTCGTCTTCAATTTAATGTACTATGCTGTTAAAATAATGAAAAAAACAAAACATTGGAATATTCCATTTAATGATTCCATACCTTGTTTACATCCTTGTGGCACTTCTGGGTTACCAAACAAGCCATCTAGACATTGACACTCAGGGCCACGAACTCCAAGAATGCACTGTGTGTTTTCACCGCAGGGTGTTTCCTGGGTATCTATCTCATTGCTACCTAAACATGTCTTGAGTTGACCACAATTAGTTGAACGCCATTGACTTCCAGGCTAAACAAGTCAAGGATAAATCATCTTTTTTTTTTTAATGAGTTCTTGATAATGTAAAATGATTTACATTAAGTTGTAGAGAAGATGTGGTAAAATCATTGATGTAAAATTCCATACAATAAATATGAACTTTTTTTCCCCATTTGAAATCCTAAAACTTTTAAATAGCAACAAAGTACACAGCTAAAAATAAGATGAGAATATTCTCATAATGAAATCAGTATTTAATGTATTTACTGTGTGTAAAACATGTATATTTGATCCATCTAAACTTTATATCATCATATAAGGAAGTCCTCTAGAAAATAATTGCTCCTTGCACAAGTTGATTTTCTTCAAAGTTTTGATGATTAACTTGGCATCACAAATATTTAAAATTGGTGTCGCAGTTTGTGTAATTTAAATAAAATATTTGACTAAGATGCCACCTACTGGTTGGTATGCCCCGCCTGGTAAGATGCACCCACAATCAGATTCACGGACACACTCTGTCCTACTGAGGACAAAACCTTCATCACAAACACAGGCAAAGCCATAATCTCCATCAGAACTTTCCCGGACAGAAGTACTCAAAATGGGCTCCACACAGGTGGGTTGCTGCGATCTTAGGGTGTACTTGAACTGCATATTAGCCCCACAAACTGTATGGATGGCGACAGTTTATCTTTAAGTTTCAAATCAAACATTCTTAAAATAAATACAAGCTAGTTAAAGGAAATAATGCTCTCCGTAATTTTAAGGCTAATAATTTCATTGTATACATTCAATGGTTCACCATCAAGAGTTTAGTTTTTTGGTATTCTTTATCGGAGTTTTACTGGTCAAAGTTTATTTTTTATGCAATCTAGGATAAGTAAAAAAAAATATAATAAAGTAGGCCCAATAATCTGGCCTCCAACTAAGTTTGATAACTTATGTGTTAGCTTATCTATGAAGATTTATTTTGTTCTCAACAAAATGATCTTCATACAGTCGAAGGTAGAAACAAATATTGGGCAATTTCCTGTGCCTTCTTTTAAGAAATTATTTTAAAAAAGTATCTTCTTTTTTGGTTAGATCTATAGAAAAACAAATAAAATACATACCATTATCACATTTTTCTAACTTTAAAAATTCCTTAATTTCAGAACTTTGAGCAAAAGAATAAAAACTTTCAATTGCAAGGTATTGACAGATGGTGAGTTTCCCAGAGCAGATAGCTTCTCTGCATCGCACCTGTGGTCATGTATATGGTCATGCATATGAGTATGGTAAGCACAATATTTGCTATATTGTTTTTAAATTGTCAAGTGCTAAAAATTATAAATGGCCCATCAGATTGTGAATGGCATTTATATTACTAGGAAGAAGAGAGGGATATTTCTGGTTTTAATTAATGCAGTACTTGGCACATTTGAAAAAAAAAAACTTTAAAAAAAAAATAATGAATTAAGATTTAAGTTAATTGATCAATAAAACAAAACAACAAATTTCAGAGGCTTTTCACTTTTACCAGAGAGACATTAAAAAACAGCTGCAGTGCACTGCACACCAAAATGGCCTCATCTTTACAGTCATCAAGTTCAGCATCAGGCGGAATGGTTGGCTCCTCTGGGGCTGTTTGTGTCTCTGTTGGGAAGGTCTCACCATAGTTGATGCTTTCTGTGGTGGCTACTGGACTTTGGGTTCCATTCTGAATAGGTGGCATAGTTTCAAAAGGGAGGGGTGGTTCAGTCGCCACGGTGGCAGGTGCAAGAGTTTCCACGGGGAAGACGCTAGAATTTGTTGCTGGTGTATTACGAGGAAACTGTGGTTCTCTTATTTCTGGGGTTGTCTCCTCCTGGGATGCTTGGGGTGTACTATTAAATGGAGTGTCTGATGGCAGGGATGGTGGCGATGTTGGAAGCACTCTTGGTGCACACCTAAATGATTTTTTTTTTTTTTTTAAAGAGAGAAACTCAGTTCAAATGTATATCAATAGTTAGATTAATTGTTGCAGCTGTACAGTAAATGTAATGCTTATAATTCATATATTTGTTTATTTTAATGAAGAATTTTTAGTAAATCATTTTTTCATTTCCAATTTGAAATTTAGTATTACATATTTACATAATTTATGACTGAAGTATCCATATAACTTTGAAAAAATAAAATCCTGCTACAGTCAAGAGCAGTGCTATAATTTTATTTAGCCCATTTGCTTGCAGCAAACCATGGATATACAAATGAAGCATTTCAATGTAACACCCAAACCTAACAATAAATTATGTACATTCAGTCATACACATCCTCATTTAAAATAAACTAAATGACTTTGACAGAAATATTGTATTTAAAAAATTTCAAAAGAGGAAACATATGCTACACTTCATGAATTAAAAATTATGGTTTCTAATTTTGGAAAAAAGCATATTTTGTGCTAAGAGTTGAGCTTCATGCAAGCGTATTTTGTGCTAAGAGTTGAGCTTCATGCATCTCTTATTTCTGAAACAGCAATCCCAGCAAAATCTGCTGCTATGGACTTTTGTGGCAAAATCCGCATGGCATGATCAGAATATGAATGTGTACAAAAATGTATCATTCTTTTCTTTTGTGCAGCCTGACTTTTATATATTGATGCCAAGGTGATATTTATGGTTCTTATGAGTAGCCACCATTTGGTGAGTAAAAAAGCAACAGCATATCATCATTTCAAGCTAGATTATTTTTTCTCAACATAAGCTTAATTACCTTCCAGCAGTTCACAACATATTTCTTGGAGGCCACAAAAAGTGCTTTAAATAGGCCAATATATAAAAAGAGAATTGTTTATATTAATAGCAGGAGAGGGGGCCATGGAGTTTCTAAAAAAAATTTGAAGTGGAGGTCAAGCAAAAAAAGTGAGTTGGGAAACACTGAGCTGGAGCACCAGACTGAAGTTGTTTGAATATGAGAACAACACCATGCTGATTACATTGATATTTTATTTGCTTGAGTTTATTTAAAAAATGTTTACATTGCAACCAGAAAAATTAGTCTTTCAGTTCTTTAACACACAACAATTCATTCACATATTCTGCATTAAGATGAAGTTACATGAATCCAAAATTGATCTCCCCTAATTCACATCTGACCAAGCCATCCAAATCCTAAGACCTTTTAGCTTATAAAACTAAAACATAAACATATCTCGATGATTTTCTTACATTATAAGACAATGACATGTCTATTAGCCAATATGAAGTACCCTCTGTATTTAGTTTTAATGCTTCATTGGAAGTTGAATGACACGTTAATGTATCAAAGTCTTTGCGTTTACAAGGTTTCTGCTTAGATTTACTGGGTAAACAAAGCATTGTGACAACTTACAATACTCACCCCCTTATGTAGGTCACTGAAAGCACCATCACTTAAGTTTTTTTGGTAACTCTGTATTTGCAAATTTAGATTTAAATTTAGCACTTCCTATCGTTAAGTGTATTTTAAAACAACAAATTTCAAATTTTAAAAAGCCAAACCCAGAATTGAAGACTTACGGAGCTTCTGGTAAGACAGAAACATCATTGATTTCCTGTTCAGTTAACACAAGCTTAGCTCCTCTAAACTCTGCCTTTAAGTTACAAGCCCCACATATGAGATCTTTGTATTCATCAGACAACTCAATCTGTAAAACACAATGTTTGAAAGCAACATTTAAGATGATAACTGTCAAGATTAAAATACAAAGAAAGTTAATAGAAAAACAAGTTTATAAAAAACTTATAAGAATAGAACTATGCTAATAAACAATCACATTTATTTTAAACAGCAAATATTCTTTTTGTGAATATTTAAAACAAGGTATGGTAATACCTGAAGAAAGGACAATACAACAAACATGTTGTCAAGAAGCATTCTTTAGTGAACAATAAATATGAGGAATAACAGCCATATAAAAATAACATGATTGCAGTCTCTCCCCCTTATTGTCATGATTTTTGTGCAGTTTTTTATTCTTCTATATAATCCTCAGACTTGGAATAATAATAAAAAACACACAAAAAACAAAACAGTACTAATAATTTCAACACCAAATGAAGTATTTCAAATAACTATGTTTTAAAAAACAAATTTTAAAAAAAAGGAAATAAAGAAAAGAAAAGAAACCTGTTTAATTTTTTTTTCCTAACTAGCATGTGAAAAATAATTTTACACCTATGAGAACAATAAAATTGTATGTAAGCATTCCATAAAACAAACCTCAATCCTCATTGGGAAGGATATTGTTGCCTTGAAATAGTTGCTGATGTGACGGATGATCAGAGTGCCTGGGGCAAGGAACTGGAATCTAGTGTTAATGCTCTTGTCAATGAAGCTTAGAGAATTCATCACAGGCTCTTTGTCTTTGTCACCAATCTTTATTTTTAAAAAATCATCAAATTTATACTACATATATCTGTTAAATTTTGAGAGAAATAGTAAAACAAGATATTTTGAGGCTCGAAATGAAAAGACAGGACAATCAAAATAGATCATTTTGGCTAGATGCCTTCTTCAGCAGACAAGACAAAACAAGAAACAACAAATAATTAGATTTTTTTACAAATGTAAGAGTCAGAAGCTCCCCACATTGGATAAGGAAGAGCTTGATGCTAGAAACAGATGTGCTCAATATTAGAAACAGAAGTTAAGTTGTACCAAAACAAAATGTATGTACTATCGAAGAGATAATATATATTAATTACATATATTCCATTTTAATTTCACAGGGTAAACAGTAACATGCCATATGTAGTATATTTCTCAAAATTTGGCAATGGGGTCAAGATAGACTAAATAACATTAAAAATAAGAAATAACAAATTTGTCTCTAAAGGGATTCAAATTTTTAACACCCTTTTAAACAGTGACCAACACATTATGCTCTTGAGGACAGGTACATACATTTGAATCTGACAGTAGGTTAAATAAATTCAGCATCACTGTTTTTTCTTTGGTTTAAATCATTGAGCTTATAATGTAACTGACCTTTTAAGGTGGTAGAGCTCCCTTACATTTTATATTTTTTAAATGCATGGGATCCATTTTTAAGATCTTCAAATAATTCACTAGGAAAGAGTAGGGTATAAGTACTGCATTAAATATAAGATTTATACCATAATGTAGCCTTCACTCAGTTGTTGTTGTGTGATACCCCATCTCTTTAATGAATTTGTCATTGGATCATAGATGAAACCTGTCACATGGGCCTCAAGGGATCCAGCATTACGTACACTCATAATGTAGAAGGAAATGTAGGGCAATCCAGACTTTGGGTTGTCTGGAACAAAAGGAAAACTAATGTATTAAAATTATTATCAGAAAACTGATAAACTGACAGATTGAATTTTAGTAATAAAATATTTAAAGTTAAATTAGGCTTATTCTTTGCTACAAGCCTGATATTTTTATGAAGAAAAAATTATGTTTTAATGTAATTTCTTGAAGTCACTGAACCTTTTTTCAAAAGTGATGCTCTTAATTTCTCTTCTTGAAAAAGTGATGCTCTTAATTTCTCTTCTTGAAAAAGTGATGCTCTTAATTTCTCTTCTTGAAAAAAGTGATGCTCTTAATTTCTCTTCTTGAAAAAGTGATGCTCTTAATTCTCTTCTTGAAAAAAGTGATGCTCTTAATTTCTCTTCTTGAAAAAGTGATGCTCTTAATTCTCTTCTTGAAAAAGTGATGCTCTTAATTCTCTTCTTGAAAAAGTGATGCTCTTACTTTCTCTTCTTGAAAAAGTGATGCTCTTAATTCTCTTCTTGAAAAAGTGATGCTCTTAATTTCTCTTCTTGAAAAAGTGATGCTCTTAATTCTCTTCTTGAAAAAGTGATGCTCTTAATTTCTCTTCTAGAAGAAGTGATGCTCTTAATTTCTCTTCTGGAAAAGTGATGGTGTGGTGTAAATTTCTCTTCTGGAAAAGTGATGGTCTAAATTTCTCTTCTTGAAGAAGTGATGCTCTTAAATTTCAATAACTCTCGGTCAATGTTCCCTTTAAGCTGCGTGGCCGTGCAGCTATCTCACAGACCCTGTGCAGCAATTTTGAGTAAATTTCCATGTAATTGTGTGTTTGTGGGCTGTAAAATTTTGCACACAAAAAAATTGATGCTGTAAAACTTTGCACACAATGTATGATTTTGCACACGAACAAGCAAACCTTAGAGGGAACATTGCTCCCAGTAACTATTTTCACAATGTGAATGATTCACAGTAACTATTGTCACAAATGAGAATGATTCATAATTACTCTCATACCAAATATGAATAACTCACAATTACTTTAGTCAACAATGTGAATGACTCACAGTTACTATTGTCACAAATGTAGGCCAGCTTGAACTTGCAATCAACGTCAAAGTGGCCAGGAATTCCTGAGAATCCTTGAAGATTGTAAACATAGTCCAGCGGTGTCGCTGGGCCAGACAAAATACAGCTGCTGATTGCTGTGGAAGGGAAAAGAAAATATATTCTTATGACACATACAACACTTTGCTTAACTCTGTCCCACTTTAATATGCAGGCCCTAAGTGGGTGTCAAGCGAGCAATTAGGCAAAGATCTTTATCACGGGGGGGGGGGGCGCCACTCACATTAACTAAAGGATGTTTAACTACAACAAGATCAGGTAATACAAGAAAAAGCTCTAAGCAATGTTAAATGAAATTGTAATTTTTCATTATATTTAACAGCACTTATTTTTAAATTGTTTTTTTTCGAACTATGATCCAGTACTTTAAAAAATGGGGGTCCTCAAAAAGTCTGGTTACAGTGCCCATAATTTTTACCTCTGAGAGGCTTTGTTGGTATGTTGACCTAGTTAAGACTTTAAAAATAAAAAATCTACCTTTAGATAAGTCTTGACTTTAATAACCACTCACCTTGACATCTGCCATTGACCATCAAAGGAAATTCTTCCTGGCACTTGCAAGAATAACCGCCCACAGTGTTGACACAGACGGTTCTGTTGGGGCAGTCATGGTGACCAGTTGCACACTCATCAGCATCTGTTGATTGAAAATTATTTACCCTATTAGTGGTTCATTTTGAGTTTAGCCATATACAAATATATTTAAAATAAACAGGTTATAGTCTCATGAGAAGATGGAAGTGGATAGTCATGGTAATAATCTTGGGGAAAGAACAAAAAATATCTGACATATAGAGACCTAGACAAGGATGTAATTAAGAATCGAAAGGGTTAGTAAATGTTACAGAAGATTTTGTTTGAGACCGGTAGACATGGAAAGATAATGGCCTATGCTCCAGTAAGAGATGACCAAAAAGCAAAGAAGAATTGTTATTTCCACCAGCAATGACTAGAACTATAACATCATGCCAAACTTGAAAAATTATATATTATATGGCTTGTAGTGTTAAAAATCCACAGTACTATTGCTTTATAAATAAATTAACACTTGAATTAGTTACAACTATTTTTCAGTGCATATTTATGTGAATCTCACCTCTAGCACACTTGGTGCTGACACTTTTGTCAATGCAGTTTAATTCTTCATTGCATGTATAGTATTCACCATTAGCTCCAAACTGGCAAGTACCTTCAACTGAGCCATTGGTCACTCTATTTGGATTTATGTCACATCTAATGTCCACGGGGGCTGGACAAACTAAACAATTTGGATTCTGTGTAATGGAGAATATTTATTTAATTAATTGAGCAGGAGAGAACATTTGTTATTTATGTTCCATTCTGGTTACTTAATTACCATGAATTGTAGTAAGATTGTGTAATGTGGCAAAGAGACAGCCACCCTAATAAAATTTATAACTTTTTTGAAAAGTTGACAGTGTCTGCTAGTTCTCCTGTCAAAATGTTTTGTAAATCGGCAATGTTTTGTTCATAAACACAGATGCTTAATTTTATCATATTTTCCTTAATGTGATAACAGCACACGTTTAAATAGAACTGCCAACTGGAGTTTGGACTTTTGGTAAACTTGACTTTTTGCTATTAATTTTAACTAAAATTTCATGTCTGCTATCTAAATGAACGCTGAGGTGAACAACTGGTGGGTCTCATTCATGATTTGGGAAAGTTAGACATTTTAGTATGTTAATAAATATTAATACTATTATATTTGCATAAATGCATATATTTAGATTGAAAAATTTTTTTGGTTGGCATATCAATCCAAACTGTATTTTTGTTTAATGACTTCTTTAGAAAAAATGAAGTAGGCCTAAAGTTCTTTAAAATATTTAATTTTACCAAATAATTCTTTTTAAAAGCAAGATAAATGTATTTATTTTGTAAAAAAATGGCCAATATTTACAACTATTCTCTTATTATTCTATGAAAATTTCCATTTTTGAAAAAAATTAACTAAATTCTATAGTAGACACAGCTCATATCCTACCATTATCATATCATACAGTCTTTCATGATCACCATCATCACTCATGTCAGCATCATTGTTGCAAAGATACCACTTCATGTCTTCTTCTGAGGCTTTACCTATTGGATGCAGCCACATGAACACAAATAATTGTTATCAGCAATTTTTTTTATCATTTCCAGATTAAGTGTGTTTAAGTGCTATGAAAAGAATCCAAACACACATGCCTCAATGTCATAGGAAGGATGTAATTAATTGCTATAAATGTTTGCATTGTGGGGATTTTTAGTTTTCAGATTTGCTGCTGATATATATGTGTAAGGTTGATTTTTTGCTGTTTTTGGATTTGTGGAGTCAATGTCAAGACTAATGAGTACATAGACCACTTGATGATGGAAAGTGTTAAATCACTGTTGCATGTCAGAGATGCTACATTTACCTACATGTTACACAAAAGACATGTTACAGTGACTTTTATAGAATTTTTCAGAGATCTCCCTGTGTTTAAACTTTCTTTTAAAACTAAAAAAACCTGTATAATAAATGTTATTTCTTTCTGGCTACTTACGCTCTTGACATGCAACATTCACTTTAGTATCTGAAGCAACTGCTTCTATGCTAAGACCAGAGGATGTCTTTTTAACAACAAGGCCTAGGACAAGCCCTTCAGCCGGAATGGAGCTGATACTGAGTCTTGGGGAGAGCTTGATTTTGTTCAGGAGTGATGCATTTATATGGAAGTTGGCCCACTCTACTTTTCCCTGTTCGTTGATGTTGAGGTCAGGTTGATATACAACAGCATCAAGCATCACAAAAGCTCTCACTTTACCACTGATATGAAGTGCAGCTACCAAAGACAACAAACAAAATATTATTTTTTTTAAAGAAAAATCTTAATCTGAGTAGTTAATAATTAACAGGAAATATTTAAATAAATTTTCAACTGTACTTTATTTGGGAGGTACTGGGTTTTTATTTTTAAACAAATTGGCCTTCATCTATAATGACTATTATTTAAAATATAAAGTCCACAAAAAGATCAGCTTAATCTGTGAACTTTAATTTTTTTAAACAGAAATCATGACCTGAAAAAGCAGTAATTATGAAATGACTACTTTACTGATGAAAGCTCAAAATTTTGATACTTAACTATCAGATTAATTATTAGAAACATACTGAAATTTTTTTCTGTCAAAAATTTCTCCACTGCTACGAATTTGGCTTCTGATTCAATATTGACCAGTGTGCCATCATCTTCATTACAGGCCTGGACAGCTCCCCTCCATGTTTTAGGCTCATCTAACACTTTCAGGCAGATTCCTTGAATATTCTCATATCCTTTGCGACAGACTGCTGGGTCTCCTTGACAAATAAATCAATATTGTGTTAATACATATAATTAAGACATAGTTCATGGATTTTCATGTACACATTTTATCTTTTGGACAGATTAGAATGATAAACAAACAGGTACTGCTAGGTATTGTTTGTTTTTTAATCTGTAAAATTTAGAGTGGATAAATTTAAACTATGTCAACAACTGACACTGGACTTTTAGAGGAAATAATTATGATTATATCAGCAGCAGATAATGAAGTAAGTCTAAACATAAGAAGTTTTACCAATTATTATTGTCTCTTTTTTTTGTGGGGTGGGGGGCGCAAGATTTAATTTGCACTTAGGTTTAAATTAGGAAAAAATTTGTATACAAACAAAATCATAGTAGATAATTTAATTCATAGAACATTTTTTACGAGAAAGTCATTATTTGGGAGAAGTACAATTTTGTCATTTTTTGTACTTCGGGAATTATACTTTTAACATTTTTATTTACATTTTCATAGATAAAATCATTAAAATAGCAAATCTGAACCTATTATTTGATAAAACTATAACAAATAATTTGAAATGACATTTTTTTTACATCTGCCAGATTTCTGTAAAAAGGCCAACCAGATTTATATAAAAAGGGGACACCTCATGTAAGTGATTTAGAGTGATTTGTTATCGGTAATTCAAAATTCTTGAGTTCACCTTAATTTTTTTTACTTACTTTGACAAGTTCCATTGACATCTTTACTAAAGCCTTTAACACATTCAACAGTTGGAGGTATCTGGGAATTGCAGACCGCATTAACAGGAAGGTTGAAAGGCTGGTGTATCAGTGTATTGGAGCCATCTTCATTTACATAGCAGAGAACAGTCTCTATGCAATTTGGCAGCAAAAGGGTCTCTCCAGGCTGGAAATGATAAATGGTAAAAAATGATAACTTGTTCAATGAAAGACAAACTTATTCACTCACTTAACATAATAATAAATCATAAGTCATGACACAGTGAATGATATCTATAAATAAACATTCTCAGTTTTTGTATATTAAAAATGTAAGGCCTTAACTGTTAACCAAAGAATAAAAAACCACTAATGCTCTTGTCAAGGAAAGACTTGTAATCTAATTGACTGTTTTTTTTAAACAAGACAAGAAATCTTTATTGATTAGTTGGCTGGTTTTGTAAACATATTGGACTTTAAAATCTAAAATTAATAACAGTTCATCGTTTTAAGATTTGAAGTAAATTTTCCAAGACAGTGTAGATCTATTTTTATTCCTCATGCTATCTGGGGAGAGTAAGTTCACATAAAAATAGCTCTTTTACTTGTCTTTTATATTTTAAACTGAATCTCATTTTAAATATATATAGATATATATATTTCCACAACTTACAGGAAGGATCCAAGTAATTGTGTCATTTGCCAAGTAAACAACACATCCACAATCCTGGCGCCTGACACAGTTCTCCCCCTGTCTCATTTCACCATCTGGACACACACATCCTTCGTCAGGGGCCTCCTGGCAAACTTGCTGGGATACAACACTACGTCCGCAGGTTGGCTCACAAGCAGCATCAGCACGGTACACTTTCTTGCCACAGTCCATTGCTAACAGAGTAAGCATTAAAAATATTTGTGGAGAATGTACAATTCAGTTTATGTTTTTATTTATTTTCCTAAACCAATCAGAATAGATTTGATAAAATGTTTGTCCATTAATGATTTTAAGCCTCGTTTTCTTATTATATAAAATCTATATAAATATAAGTCAAAGGTAAGCAGCCGTGGTTGAGTGGTGGGCCCTTGATTGTAATTCATCATTTAAAACATTACTTTTAGAATCCCTAGTATACTACATAATTGAACAGCCACAAACTAATTTTTCACAAGCTCAAATGGCAAAATGTATATAAATTAATTGTAAAATTATTGTAGGGCCTACAATGTCAATAAAAATATTATCATTGACTGTTCTTAATGGGGGTTATTGAACAAGAGCAAATCCATGTTAAATTTATTGAAGGTAATAGGCTAGAAATATTGGATTGCTGGTGTTGAGATGGTTTTTTGCATGAAGATTGGAAGCCCCTTAAATATATTGATGGGAATATACTGACAGCCCCTTATGTATTGATGGGGATATATAAATATTTAATTATCTGTATGCATGACTGGAATATTACAAATTTAAATGAGGTATTGATAAATAATAAGAGTAATAGAGCATGTTAATTGTGGTTAAAGTAATGTATCTTATTTCTGATGTGCAATATTTTGTAGTCATAATTTTGAATGGATTATTGCTAGTTATATAAATAATTAAAGCAATATCTTATTTCAATAATTTGCCTTTACTGTAGAAGCTTTGGTTTAAATGATTCCATGAGCAAAACTAGAAAGTACACTTCATCATACTTAATAAAAAATTGTTCATTATTTTTTAATAATTATTTTTACCAACTAAATAAATATGGAAGAACTTCTAAATTAGATTTTACATAGACGGCTAATAATAATGGTGTAGCATTTTATAATTTTTTTCTTACGACAAAAATTTTCTCTCCTCCAATCAAGGAAAACCCCTCTACTTGCACATTCCTGAGCTACAGCTTTGACCATTGTACACACAGCTTTTTGGGCATCTTTCTGCATGCAAGCATCATACATACAATCCTCATAGTATGCTTGACGATCTAAAGTTGTCTGATTGGAAAATTAAATGCAATACTTTAATTTTTCTTTTTGAAGAGTTATTTCTTGAAGATGTAACTGGAGTCATGCATTATGTGATTTTTTTTTAAATAGAAAAATAGTTTATTTAGCTTCTTTTTTTTTATGGTTGAAATAGTGTTTCTTTAGATTGAATTGACAATGACATATATTTACCCTGGAAAAACATTCCTGAATGGAGCTAGTTGTGTC